TGTAGATGTGAGTTTATTTTCAAACTTTTTCTGCAGGTTGTTCCATTTCTATGTTCAAGCAATTCGATGTCTTATATGAGAAAATGCATCCGTGCCATTTTCCCAGAAAATTGTCTGATTTTTGAATGAAATAACCGGAAAAATCAGTTCAATTTCCTATTAGAAATAGCCAAGAGTCTCCTGGTAAAAATACAAATTGCGAAAGGAAATTTGGCAGCATCGAAACGCAGTTATGTTTCTTCGCCCTGGAGACGACGAATTATGGGAAGTTCGTATGTTTATTCCCGCCACTTTATCTTAAGACCAGAATTATATTTGAAGTGTACCCACTTTTGTTGAAAACGTAATTTTCTAAATTTTTCCAGAGGATCTTCTTCGGAAGTAGGATGTCCCTCCAGACCATATCATTTGAATACATTTCCAACCCCATAAGTGCAATGCCTTTCTGTGTCCCGTGATCGCCCTCATGAAAAACTCTCAAGTTCCGTCCATGCTTTTTCTCTCTCTCCTTCTCTGCCGGTGGCCCGCCAGTAACTTCTACTCAGAGGGCCGTTTATTAAAATTGATGGACAAAGCTATCGACAACGGAGACTAAAGGGGTGTGGAGGGATGTTATTTATGAAAGCGGGTGGTTGCAACAGACGAAGGAGGCAGGTAACAGACTAACTGACGGCATTGGCGGATCCAGCAATTTGGCAGCACCGTCTTTTCTCCATGTAAACCTATGAAAATGTATCGATTCTTGGGGGGCCAGGTGCTCCAACAAGAATCGATTATTTAGCATAGGTTTAAATGGAGCAAATCCAGTGTTGCCAAATTGCTGGATCCGCCTCTAACGGCAACCCACGAGAGACCCTATAGTTAGTTAGTCCATCATTTTCTCTCTCAGTCCATGGGAACCACTCACTTCAACCATGAGATCGCTCCATACTCCCTATGTCTTCTTTGTCTATCGCTTTGATTATCAATTTCAATAATCAGCCGGCATATCTTCCCACAGGCATTCAGAGATATCGCCGTCCCCCGGACTTAAGCATTGGCGCGGCGTGCTTTGCGATATATCGATTGATCTGTCATTCAAACCTATGGAGAAGGATCGATGAACAGGGTGCTCGCAGCGAACACCTTGATAATCGATTCTTTACCATAGCTTCAGATGGAGAAATATCGATCATCGATCATTCACGCCACTGGACTTAAGGACGTATCTCGATCTCCGCACGAGCCTGTCAGGGCTTTCCACAATGGGACTACATTTTGCAATTTGGAACTATAAATTCCGGCCCGGTTTAAAAACAACGTATGTGCATGCCATTAATTTCCCTATGCACATAAGTGTTTTTTCAGATGAGCCAGAATTTATAGGTCCAAATTGCAAAATGCAGTCCAATTTTTATTCCTATATTTTTAAATTTCCCTGTTTGTTCATTCAATTATTAAGGATGGCTGGGTTCGTCGGTTTTTCTTCAACATTTTATTTTCTCCCCCGTTATCTTCCAACCATCATCTTCATTGCCCCTTATCTTTAATGACGAGACTTGCAGTTGATAGCTACTCAGATGATAGCCAGCCAATCACGAATAGTCATGTTGTCTCCAGTGGCGTGGCGTGAATAATCGATTATCGATATCTCGCCATTTGAAGCTATGGTAAAGAATCGATTACTAAGGTGTTCGCTGCGAACACCCTGATAATCGATCTTTCTTCATAGGTTTAAATGGCATAAAAATCGATAAATCGCAATTCACGCCACGCCACTGGCTTGTCTCACTACTCGTGGCGTCAGCAAGACTATACAAGCGTGTGCTGCCTATTTTTCGAGGTCTTTTTCCATCATTCAGACCCGCGTTACTCCACATAGCTCAATCTCAAAGCTCTGACTATACCCAAGTGCAACCCTTTGTGACATTCTGTTTTTCTGTGCTCTCTTACTTCAATCTTCATTCTCGGTCTCCGAATCTTCTTTTTATTTATTCATTCACTCGCTTTCCCGCAACTCAGCTCTCCTGTTAAATTATTGATCTATCGTACGTATGTTTTATTTGTCACAACGTTTACATTTATTCGTTGCAATTGAAACGTCCTGCCTTTTAGTGTTTTTTAATGTTTGTAGCCTCGTTTACCCATTTTTAAATCTCTTCTTCTTCATTCGTATATCCGGGCTATGTTTTTGTGCTTTATCGTTTATTTGTTACCTACCATCCGCATTTGGACGTATTTCTGCCAAACGGAACTATGTGCATTAAGACATGAGCCCTGAGACCCATAAGAATATATGCATAACAGGGCTCTCAGGTCATAATGCGCATAGTTCCGTTCGACAGAAATACGTTCATTTGTGATATGGCGACGAAACCACGCTGCATCTTTGCAACACGGTGCCTCATTTTCGTTGCATGTTTGCAACAGAGCCCCAAAAAGCATGAAATCATGGGTAGGTAAAACAGGGCTCACGAAGAAATCGAGATAAGCTCTTACGTCAAAGGAGCGACGATGGTGCCCCGCGAAAACCGACAGAAAAATCGGCCGCAAAAACCCCCGCGGTAGCGCTCGGTTTGCGGTCAGCCCTAGGTTCACGTTTTCTCAAAAAAGCGGAGAGCTCAATCTCTTCTTTTTCGTGCGGTTTTCGCCGGAAGTAGAGTCCCTTTATACTGAGAGTCAAGACAATTCGGCTCATGGATGTCACAAACGGGAATAAAGATTACAGAAGTTGAACGTTTTTCGTAATCTTTGATCGGCCCATTCTCAAATTCCTTTCTCCGTTCCTCCTCTCATTCCGTTTGTTCCTTGCCGAACCCGTAATTCCCTGGTCCATTCCAGATTATAATCTTTGCAATTGGTGAAAATGTAATCTTTATTCCCGTTTGTGACACTGTGGAGGCCTAAAATACGGTAACCAATCAGAAATAAATTCAAATTGTCTCAGTATAAAGGGACTCTAGCCGGAAGCAGTTGGACGCGCGGCGCTCGACGTCTTCGTTTTTCCGGACGAGTTCTCCTTCCGGTGCCGACCGAGCGCGGAAAGCGGTGACCCGCGACGCACAGTGGATCGAGTCAATCAGTGAGGTCGGACTTGAAATTTTTGATTTAAACTGCATTACAGGGTGTCTGGAATCAGGATTTTCCCGATTCTGTCAGGATTTGAGGAAAAATCGGTCGTAAAATCAGGATTTGAGAAAAGTCGGCCGTCTGATCAGATTTTTTTATCAAGCTATCCTTGTGATATTAATTGGACTGCATCTTGCAATTTGGACCTATAAATTCCGGCCCGGCTTAAAAACAACGTATGTGCCATTAGTTTCTCTATGCGTATACGTGTTTTTTTTTTTTTTTCAGATGAGACAGAATTTATAGGTCCAAATTGCAAAATGCAGTCCAATTTTTCTCCGCCAAAAATCAGGATTTGTTCAGGATTTGGACAAATCATGAAAGCAAGATCGAGCAGTCAAAAATCAGGATTTCCCAAAATGAAAAAAACTAGACAACCCGTGCTTTTGATGTTTATCTTGTCACATTTTAAATTTTAAGGGGTGCTTGTGGAAAGAAATTTCACGAGGAAACCAATGAAGCCACTTTTAGAACCTCGAAGTTTTGTGTAAATGGAGTTAAAAGCGTTTAAAGTTTCCATGTCCGACCTCGATCCACTGTGCGGGGACGGAAGCGAGAAAGGTCGGAAAACGCGAGACCGCGATGAGCTTCATCGATGCTCGGTGAGAAGGAAAACACTGCGAGTGTAGCACACGCCACGGAGCTCCTGATTGATTCAGAAGTCGTCGTTCCTCTGACGGAAGGGCAATTTGACAAACCTGATTTTTCGCAATTTAAATCCATTAAGGTGATTCTATGAGATCTAGGGACCAGATCCGCCACGAAGTTGCGCTGCTATGCGGTTTGCGTCTTTGAGAGGCAATAATGGACCACTAGACAAGGTACGAATTTCAGCATTCTGATACATGTTTCGTAACTAAAATTTCACGTAGAACACGATGCGCACGACAAAAATTACCGCAATTAACTCCTTGCGGAGATAAATATTGATTCTTGATGCGTGAATTCAAACCACCCGCTCATGAAAACTCAATGCTCTACGTGATTCACATCCCGCGCTAAACGTTATCATGACAGTCTCTGCGATATAAAAATTCGGCAACCTCAATCTTGACGCCTTGGCTCAGCTATAGCTAATTGCTAATAGTTTGAACAACACATGGTGGGAAATGAACATTGCTCGATCGAGAAGCTTGCTGAAACCGTTGTAGTGCGCGATTTGACTCACGTAGAGCTTTGAGTTTCTTGTGAGCGGGCAGTTCACATTCCCCGTAACCAATATGAACTAAAAAGTTAATATCTTTGTTAGGAGTTGGTTTCAGTAATTTTCGTTGTGTGAATCTTGTTCTACGAGAAATTCTAGTCAAGAAATGTGTATCAGATTGCTTAAATTCGTACCTTGTCTAGTGGTCCATTATCGCACTGGAAAAAAAAGTAGCTTGGATCCAGAGTCCATACTCTTGAAAACAATGACAAGAAAAGATACTCTCGATTCAATCTGCTTTTTGCTCGAATCAAAAGGAAATCCGCTTAAACTAAGAGGCTAGGTTCTCGATTTAAGCAAAAATCCGATTGAATCAAGAGTATTTTTTCTTGTCGAAGTTTTAAAGAGTCTGGACTCTAGATCCAAGCAACTTTTTTTCCAGTGCGTTTTGTACGAATTAACGCTAGAAACTGATCCATAACGTGTAGCAGCATTGAGACTGAGTAGAATGACATCAAATTTGTTAAGATTCATCGCTTTATACCCGAAACTACGATAACGTACTTCGCCCGTTGACTCAATGTGTAAGAGAGTCTGTACAGCGCTGTCTCTCTCTTACAGATTGAGTGAACGGGCGACGTCAGTTATCGTAGTTTCGGGTATTAATTTTCACACACTTTTCATGATTTGCACGATTTTTAATAATTAAACACCCCTTAATAATGCATATTTTCTTCTCTGTTTGCAGATCTCCTCTTTTAGTGGATTAACGTCCTTAAGACTGCCGATGACAACGACAAAATAAAGCAACAAATTCAGTTTCAGGTACTTAAAACTCTTCTCTTATTCTTACAAGTTGCATTACACTGTATTGCAAATATTCTTGACATGGGTGATTGTCCAAGCTTGCACATTGATTTCAATTTTGAAGGTTTTAACCAGAATCGACCTAACTGCATTTAAACAGCATTTTGAGTCGGGACGCCTGAATTTCGCCCATTTTTTGCTTTTCAACCAAAAACAACGCAACATAATACCTGGAAACTCTTAGTAAATATCCCCGAGAGTCTAGGCCGTGGAGTTTATACTCCAATAGTTTCAAGGCAGAATGTTGCGTTTTTTATGGTAAGGACAGAAGGAAATTAAGCCGCGTTTAAAGGAAAATAGTGTACATTTTCTTCGGAAAATGTACTAAAAAATTGATTTTTGGTAAATGGATCGGGAAGGCAAAAGACTTATCGCCACTTTTCGAGCGATAGAATGTAACTCCATTCCAACGTTTTCAAAATTTCCTCGTTTACTCGCACATTGTACTTCTACTTGGAATGTGTTGAGCTTCTCTAACTGAAATTTGCCCTGATTTTTTTCTGATTGCGCGCGAAAATCAGGACATTTTTAAACAGAAATTGGTCTGACATTTCTTTGCTATAATTTGAATCGCTCGAGTCAACTTTCCAATCTTGGGACGGGGTTACGTTCCTGCGTCTAGGAAAAGACGATGTAACACTGCCGTGCCAAGGAACCGTGCCGTATGAACATTCGAGAGTTGGCAAATTTCCTTCGATAAAATGTTTATTTTTGAGGAAAGTTATGAATATTTTTCATTGAAATTTTCAGGAACTTTAGGTGAAATTCCAAACAAAATTATCTGAAAAATTGGAGGAAAAATATTTATAAATTTTCCGGAAAATTTATGATTTACCAAAGGAAATTTGGCAACGCCTGAAGGTTCATACGGCGTTATTCCTTAATACGGCAGTGTATAATGTTCCATTTTCACTCCTAACAAAATCTGCCGATTGAGTTTGTCAACCCATCATTTTCTAGACGAAGGAATGCAGCTGCATATCAAATGTTATGAAATATCCACCCGGAAATAACAAATATAATAAATCATATTGACACCAAGCAGTTGTTGGGTGTTTTTAGCTTCCTCGGTGAATCCTCTAATTACTCGCGGAAAACAGACAAATTTCTGTCTTACTCTTGCAAAAAAATGTGTCGTCCGAGTCAATTTTGCAACCTGCATTTGCGTTCCTTCGTCATTGAAACGACAGAACGCGGTCTCGTTTGAATTTCGAATCATCAAAACGTCGCAATGAGATGAGAAGTACGCTTTTTTTTAACTTCAGCCATCGATATGTTACCATGCCAACTATTGCTCATAGATGTTTACTTTCTCGCTCCCCTTGCGAGTTGAGGAAGTATTGTCATCTAAAAAAAACCAGTTGAAATTCCATTATTTCTAGGTGTTTTAAGGTGCCTGCAATAAAAAAAAACCACACTTGAAAAAATGTGTGTCCGCCCTCTCAAAACTTCTAACGTACATAACGTCCCATGGATCGTATTTGATACATCAAACAGGTGAGATTGTATCGATATCGATTAGTTCAACATGTAAACATAGGCTAGAATGTCAACTGAGTAATCTGACAGAACGGGGTTTTTGCGATAGATTTTTGATTCTTATGAGTATAAAATGGCCACGAAGAGTGATATTATTAGGAATTTCCTCATTTTCAGCTTTTTCCAATTTAAATCCTAAAATTTTTGTTTGAGGTTATGTTCCATTGTTTTGAACGAAACGATACACCGAACCAATATCGAATACGATCTATTTGCTTTTTTCCCCCCGAAGTTCAATTAGTTCAATCGAAATCCTCTCCGTTCGAGTGAATTTATATCCATGCGGAGTTATTTCGCTGCCTACCAGTTTTGTGCTCTGCCAAGTTGTAGGCGGCTCAAAATCGACGCGACCAGACGGACGGCCCGACACACAGTGGAACAACCTAATAGAAGAAGTCGGATATGCAATTTTTGACGAAAATGTTTATATTTTTATGTTTATTTCGTCACAGATTCAATTTAAAAACGTGTTTATAAACTAAAATTTCACGAGAAATCCAACGGAACCACTCTCAAACTTCTTTGTTTCATCTTTTCCCCAAAAATATAAGCTTTCAAAGTTTCCAGGTTTTGTCCGACTTCTCCTACCGACTTGATCCACTGTGCAACATGGTCGTGGAGACACGCGGCCTTTCTCAAAGTGCACTCGGTTGCGTCTCCTCATGGCCCGCTGTCACGATACCGTACTCGACGTCGCGATTGTATCTTTTATTTTGATGCGTCGCCATGGCAACCCGCCCCGGCCGAGGGAGGGGGCGGTTTTTACGATCGCGGCCCAATCGGTGACCGGAGCGATTGTCAAGTCGCGCCGCGGGTATCGGCGTTCGACGTCATCGTCGCGTCGGGGAGAAGGCGAGTTCTTTTTTCCGACGGTTTGTTCGTCGTTGGCATCGACGGCGAGTTTCCGTGGAGTGGTTTTTTACGACCGTCCGCGGTCGGTGGCGCCCGGATAATTGCCTGCGTTTCCCGCGGTGGAAAAGACTCAAACGGGGGAAGTGGGATCGAAGCGATCGTACTCGTTCCCGTTTTGACGGGGGCGTTTTTTGACCGGAAATCCGGAAGAAGCAGAATGGAGATGTTGCATGTGTGAGGAATTTGCGATTTGACTGTTGATTCTTATGTTAAAGTTCGCGAGAAACACGATGGTACCACTGGTTTTTTTCTGAAATCAACTCCCAAGCTCAAAAAAAGCTCTCAAGTTGAGGCCAAAATGGAGGGGATAACCCACGCTAACCTGAGAGTTCACCTCTACATCAATTCAAACTCTTAATGCGAAGATAGGGAGCTAAAGCATTAGCAGGGTTGCCGTGTTTTCAGTTTGGGAGTCCCCAAATAAAGTGGCAGCCCTGTCAATGCATTTTTGCATGGAGAGTTTGTCTTGATGTTGAGGAGGACTCTCAGGATAGCGTGGGATATCCCCTCCATTTTGGCCTCAACTTGAGAGCTTTTTTTTGAGCTTGGGAGTTGATTTCAAAGAAAGCCAGTGGCACCATCGTGTTTCTCACGAACTCTTACATTAGAATCAACTGTCAAATCGCAAATTCCTCACACATGCAACATCTCCATTGCCTGTGTTTTCCGCGGTGGAAAAGACTCAAACGGGGGAAGTGGGATCGAAGCGATTGTACTCGTCCCTGTTTTGACGGGGGCGTTTTGTGACCGGAAATTCAGAAGAAATAGAATTGACACGAAGTGGGCATCATAGAGTACATAGAGTCGTAATGTAAATGGGAGAGCTGGCGCCATGTTCTGCTCGACGAGTCCCGAGCCCGGTGTGCGCTGAGCTTCGGTCACTTTTTCGATACATGTTCGATCCAAAATGGCTGTGTGGAATACGTGGTACTTTCTAACTTATTCGTTTACATTGGATGGCCGGGCCCCCGCTGGTCCCCGTATATCGAAAACAATCGATCATATATCGAAAAAATGACCCGGCGTCACTCAGGAGTCAGGAATCTCTGAATTCGGGACCTGGAGAATGCTTCCAAGTGGCGCTAGCTCTCCCGCTTATATTACGATTCTATGTTGGGCATGGAGGTTGCGCGTATTGCTATGTATTTTTCGCCTTCAATTTTCTGAGTAGGCCAGAAACCTCCCTCCGTGCAGTGGACTTGTTGCAAACTTCAGCCAACACAAGAGTGCGCCGGGAGAGTCTGAAATGCACTCCTTACCTCACAATCTTCGTCTGCATTCGCATCCGCAGGCGCAACAGATGATGTCGTACCAAAACGCGCCATCAACTACAGACGTTTACACCTTTACTTATTAAGAAGTGACTTGAATGAGCTTAAATTGACATTAAATAATTGTAATGTGTGGTGACTCAGCAAGTTGTTCAAACCACGTCCCGATGAATGAAAGGGACCAGGATTATGATCAGATCTTGCATCAACTACTAATTCCATCCATCGCGTTTATCAATTAATGTTATGCTGGCAAACCTTTATAGCAGGCATTTTATCGAATGCCTAGACGAATAGTCAAATGTTTTTATACTTACCATTAAATTCGGATTCTTTTGCTTATTTTAGACGAAATAATAATTTGCTCATGTGAAAAGAAGTCTCTGTAAAAATCGGCATCAGACATTTGAAGGGCTTGGAAGACAAGGCGCATAAGTACAATGCTTGAAAAAAATGAGCTATTAATTAGCTCAAGTAGCTTTAGGTTAATGAATATTCTGTGAAAAATTCACCCCCAAATTCCAATTTTTAAGCATCCAAAAATCGGTTTGAATTTTCTTTCTGCCATAAGGACCCAAGTAATTTCAAAACTTCAAACACGTACTTCCCGTAATAGCAAAAATTGCACTTATGCGCCTTGTCTTCCAAGCCCCTCAATGGACCACTAGACAAGGTACGAATTCAAGCATTCTGATACACGTTTCTTAACCAGAATTTCACGTAGAGCACGATTTGCGCAACGAAAACCAATGAAACAAACTCCAAACGAAAATAATAACGTTTTTATGTCACATTGGTTACGAGGGATTTGAACTGCCCGCTCATAAGAAACTCAAAGCTCTACGTGAGTCAAATCGCGCACTACGTCGGTTTCAACAAGCTTCTCAATCCATTAATGTTCATTTCCCATCATGTGTTGTTCAAACGATAAGCAATTTGCTACAGCTGAACCAAAGCGTCAAGATTGAGGTTGCCAGATTTTTATATCGCAGAGACTGTCATGATAACGTTTAGCGCGCGATGTGAATCACGCAGAGCATTGAGTTTTCATGAGCGGGTGGTTTGAATTCACGCATCAATAATCATTAAATATCTTAGTTAGGAGTTGATTTCGGTAATTTTCGTTATGCGCGTCGTATTCTAGGTGAAATTATTGTTAAAAATCATGTATCAGAATGCTAAAATTCGTACCTTGTCTAGTGGTCCATTGTAAATAAATTCGATCCAATCTTTAAA